TAGTAAAGGTTGATTAGATGAAGGTCTTTGACTCAGTGGATTGGGGCTTCCTGTTCAATGTGTTGCAAGCTATGGGGTTTCCTGCTAGGTTCTTAAACTGGTTGAGAATGTGTGTGACTACTTCAAAGTTAAGCATTGGTTTTAATGGAGGTTCAGTTGGCTACTTTTCTGCTAAGAAGGGTTTTGAGACAGGGTGAACCCCTCTCCCCTTATTTGTTTGTAGTGGCTATGGAAATTTTTTCTTGCCTTATGAATGAAGTTGTTCATCAGAATGTTATGCCTTTTCATCCTATGTGCAAGAGGCTCAAGTTAACTCATATTATGTTTGCTGATGATCTATTGCTCTTCTCTTATGGTTCTAATTCTGGGATTCAAAGCATTCAAAAAGTTTTGTCGAATTTTAGGACAATATCTAGTCTTCAATCTAACCCAGCTAAGTGTGAGTTATACTGTGGGGGTTAGTGAGCACTGGCAGGAAACAATGGCAACTTTCTCAGGGTACAAGTTGGGGACTCTCCCTGTTCGCTACTTAGGACTTCCCTTGTTGGCAGGGAAGCTCACTGTAAAAGCTTGTGCACCTCTGATTGATAGAGTTACTAGAAGAATTACTAGCTGGAAGTCAAAGTCTTTATCTTATGCTGGCAAATTTTAGTTGGTTATGTCTGTATTGTATAGCCTTACACAGTTTTGGATGTCTATTTTCATTCTCCCTAAAGCTATCATTAGAGCTATTGAGAAACTTTGCAGTGATTTTCTATGGGGGGTGGGAGATGGTGCTCGGAACAAGGCAGTGGTAGCCTGGTCTAGGATCACTTATCCAAAGAAATAAGGTGGTCTAGGACTTAGGGACATGGCTTCATGGAATTTCGCTTGTGTTACGCGACACATTTGGGTTATCCTTCTGAAACAGGGGTGTCTCTGGGTTGCTTGGATTTGGGAATACAGAATCAAACGCGGGAACTTCTGGGATTCAATTACAAAGGCAGGCTCCTGACTATGGCTCAAGTTGCTAAAGAGTAGAGACAAGTTAATAAATTGGCTATCTGATGATGCTGATGGTGTTCACTGGAAGGGGGACCCAATGGCAAAATTCAGCATTAAGAAAGTGTGGGAGGAAGTCAGACCAAAGAGTAGTCATGTTCCTTGGAGCTCCCTGGTTTGGAAAGGACCTTGTATCCCCAGAAATCAGTTCCTGGTGTGGCTTATTGCTAATGATTATATAGTAATAGGGGATAAAATTCAATGATGGGGGGTTGCTGGTAGTCATGGATGCACTTTCTGTTCTTGTTCCCTGGAGACAAGGTCTCATTTGTTTGCTGAGTGTCGAATGTATAGACAATTGTTTGCGGCTTTGTTTGCTAAATTTACAGGTCGTATTCCTGGGAATCGGTGGCTAGATGAAATTCATTGGGCGTCCCTGCAGTTCCAAAAGAAGACTATTGTTTCTCAGGTGGGGAAGGTTACATGGCAGACCTTGATTGCTACCACTTGGAAGGGGAGATGTAAGGTAAAATTTGGAGGAAGAATGCTTGATATGAATGAACAGATCCGGTTGGCTAAGAGTGAGTTAAGATTGTTTCTTGATCCCATGATAGTTGAGCAATTCTTCTAGTTACAAGGTTTTGCAGTTGTTATCTCTTGTTCTGATAGACAGTCAAAGTGCAGTAGTTTTATACTTGTCTATAAGTCTGCTTCGCTCAGTTGGCAGAGCTTGTTGCCAGCAAGTCTTTTGCTCCCATTTTGAGTTACTCTGGTTTTACCTTTGGCGGCATCGATGCCGCTATGGCACAGTAGAATTCCCGCCAATTAAAAATTATTAGAAAAATAATTTCCCCCTCTCTCTCTCCCCCTCTTCTTCCTTCCCTTGCACCCCAGTTAGGGGGTAAGTCGAAATAATAATTCTGCATCCCGTTTTGCACCCCCTACTGTTACAAATTATCCAAACAGGTGTAAATATGTTGGAAATTGTGTTTACCCCTGTCATTTGCACCCTCCTCCCATTTGCACCTCTTCTCAAACATAGTGCAGAGGATAATACAATAATAATTGGACTTGAAAAAAGATTGAAGGAATGGATTGGTAGGGAATGGTGCCACGTAAACTCTCCATGCATGTGAAACTAGTGGTGGATCCAGTAATTTTTTATAGGTGTGTTCCCTTTCAAAACTTAAATTAAATTAAATTAAATAATTCATAAATAAAAAAATATCCAACTAGTGCAAATATACCATATTAGACAATAATTCACAAACTGATCGCATATTCGATTTCTAAGCTTATTTTGATGTAACTTAAACTTGAAAGACTCTTTCAACTCTTACAGTATACCTATTGAATATATTCAAATTAAGGATAACTCAAATGAGTTTAATTGTTAGGTTTTGAAAATAATTGGAAATAAAGAATAGTAATTTTACTATTACATAGTGTTTAAAATAGAACAACAAATGAGTTGCAACCTAGAGTATATGTTTAATAATAGTAGTGTCTTAGGTTTTAAAAACACCAAGGTTGTCAACCAGCGGGTTGACCCGAGTTGGCCCAGACCCGACCTTGAAAACGGGTTAAAATAGCCCATTTGAGAGTTAGCCCGGAAATGGTCAAACTCGTGAAAACCTGGTAAAACCCGGGAAAATCCGGGCGGTTGGCCCGTCCGAGCGGTTTAGCGGGCTGCTCGTTCCAAAGTGTCATTAAATTTGTACTATGTTGAATTTAAATTGATGTTATTTAAGTGTGTTGAAGTTTAAGTACAATTGTTTTTTTTATGTTGGATTCAAAATAAGTACAATATAATGATTTTTTCATATTTTTAGACTAAACCGGACTAAAACGGGTACACATTAACCCTTGACCCACTAGCTCGACCGGGTCTGGGTTGACCCGCGGGTTGACAACCTTGAATAACACAGATTACTACTTATATATTATTAATTATATGCAAACTACTACCGAGGACAGGATAAATCATTTTTTCAAAATTTAAGGGTGTCCCAGATTACCCATTGTAATTTTTTTTTATCCATACGAAACTACTACCGAGGGTTGGATAATCGTTTTCCCAAATTTTATAGGTGTCCCGGAACACCGCTAAAGGCCCATGTATCTGTCACTGCTTGCAACCCCCACATTCATGCCCTATGCTGGCGGGTGTGGCTCGAAAGAAATAGAAGAATTTTTTTGACAATGGTGAATTTATTAGAGAAAAACTGAAAAATCACAAAAAACAACTAAGGCTAGCACAAGGTGTGCACCTAAAAAGAAACAAGCAGAATAATAGACAAATAGAGTACAAGAACAGAGAGCAGCAAAGGATCAAGAAAGAAAGGTGGAAACAACACCGATTGAAGGGGCTGAGCAAACCAGGAAGCTCCTGCTCCCACAACATCTGAACAAGCAAAAAAGAAGCATGTTGTATCTGCTGTTCAGAACCACTCAAGATACAACCACCTGCTGCAGATTGAAAACCGTACACTAACCCGAGTATGAGAGCATCAAATAGCACCAGCTGTGGTTCTGCAAATCCGATCATGCAACCATCTAGAACTTTGATAGAAGAATTTTGAGAGACGAGGATGAGGAAGGCAACGTTGTGTGTTACAAAATTGGTCGCTTCATAGTTGACTGGTTATGCGCCAATGAGAAGGTGGAAAGAAGCATTACAGATGTAAGGAAGTGGTTAAATACCATACATGAGCCTGTATAAGATCCAACATAACCTTCTCCCAATAACTTGAATTATTGGGACCAATTGATTTATGACATGGTATTGGATGAGGTCTTAAAGCTAGGACTGTCAAGAGCAACACAAACCGAACAAGCAGTACAACACTACAACCTTGAGTTTTGAAGGAAAATGGAGAGATCCTAAGAGTTCTGATGGGAAGGATAACACTAGGAATGTACTCCTTTTTTCTCTGTCTGTCATTCTGCTAATGTCCGTGAAAGGCCGGGGGTTTATTGTCAAGCCTTTGCCTCTGCTTCTATTTCTTCATTTTTCTTGTTTCCCATCTTTATTTAGTTCTTTTCTGTACTTTTCGTCGTTTCTGTCGAACTAAATAACTGTAATTAATTTCACTATTAACAAAAAAAAATGATTTCACTTTCTTAAATATAAATGATGAAGTCAGTAATCCAAATAAAAAATTGATTTGAATCAGGATAATTGAAAAGGGATTAAGTTGTTATTTTATTTATTAAACTCATCACAAATTATACGAGTAATTGTACCTATTTTTCAAAGTTGAATAAACTATATATAACTCAACCTAACCCCACCGTCACCAAATAATACAATCAATCATGGTACGACTTGGAATTTCATTGGCGGCACTCTTCCTTTTTCTCCGTATTGTAATTAAGGTTTGACGATCCCTAGGAGACAATTAAGGTACACTGTGTGTAATGTAATTTAGCTAATAATTAGAATCGTATACGCAGTACATGCCGACCTCCACAAAATCTGCTCACTTTTGCCCTTTTCGCTCCTTTCCTATGCATGGCCTCTCTTCTAGTAAATTACAGATTTATCCTCTCCAGAGGCTAGATTCTTTCATCTCTACCAGCTGTGATATTTGTTGCAACCTGCCACATAACTTGACCGATTGATAATTTTGCTTAGCTAAATGATATGTAGGTTATCACCCGGCCCCTTGAGTTGAAGGCTCTGTCCCATCCCAGCACAATAATTCAACAAGCATTCAGTGGAACCTGATCATACAATTCATTTGGGATTTGTTTCCTTTCATTTGACGTAATTCATGTAATAACATACTATACATTAAAAGGCAAAATACACTTGTATAGCCAAAATTTTTGCGTTTTTGCCAATAATAGCCAATTTTGTAGAAATACCACTTATAGCCACTTCCGTCAAATTCTTGAACGGAGTCAGTTAATAAGCTGACTGGACAAACATAAAGGCTGAGTTGGCGAGTTTCTCTAGTGACAATTCCAGGCTGGATTAATTTTAATAAATAAAAAACAAAAAAAAAGGAGTTGAAATGTCTCCAGCCAACGCTCACTCCCTCCTCCCCTATGTGACATACTCTGCTCCACCAATTGTCGCCGCCGCTTCTCCGCCTCGTCGAACCCAAAACTCCACCATTCCTTCACCAGATGAGGGAGGCTTTGCAATTTCGAGTGCGATGCCGCCTTATCCTTATTCTTGCACTGCAACAAGGACTCGAGAAACCACTAGCATGGACTTGACAAAGGGTGTTCTTTTCCCTGTTCTGAAATCGAACACCACTAGGCACTAGCTATCTTCGTCTCCTTCGTTGAACAAATGGGGATGGGAGTGGGTTTTGTGTCGTTTGGATTCAAGGAGTTGAAGCCACTATGTTGGCCTTGATGTGGGCATTGGTGGGCAAGTCCTAGATCTGGAAACCGCTGTCAAAGACGGTGGCCAATGAGTCGTAGTCAGCAGCGATTGTGGGTTAGTACTGTCGCGGTGACGATGATGAAGCCACTGCCTTTACCCGACGATGATGCAGAAGCTTTAGGGAGACTGTTACTCCCAAAGTGATGGAGACCTCCAAAAGTCTAGACCTGCATCTTCAATCTTACCGAAGCTCTGTCTCTCTGGGCTCTCAATCTCACCTTAGAATTGGGCTTGTGAGAAGAAGACTCGGATGTTTCAGGGATTGAGCGCGATTTAAGGTGGGATTGAGTGATGATTGAAGCAGAGGCTTAGCTTTGTTCGCCGATGATTTTAATTTCTTCTTCAAATCTCCCTAGTTCGTCGATTGAGGGAAAGGAGGACACATCGTTTGTGAGCAATTTGAGGGTCGTGGAAGTAGTCGCCGCATTGGCAGCAGTAGATCTTGTCGCACATCTCCACTCGTTCGTCCCACCAAGTCGGAGACTAGGTAGAGCTAGTAAGGAGTTAAAGCATAACCAAAGACGGCGAGGGCAGCGGAGGAGAGAGCGAAGACAGTGGGCCGATGGAGAAACCTAGAACGCTTGAATCCGTCAAAATTCCGCCACCATGGTCATGGATGCCCTCAGCTTCGGATTTGCAAGGTTTTCCGGCATCGGCGATTACGAAATTCAAGGCGAGGACTAGGGGAAATTAAAAGAAAATATTTTATTTTTTTTATATTTTAAAATTAATTACTTTTATTATCAAAATTACGTGGCAATGATATGATGAATTGTCGCTGATGTGTGCGATGATTTGGAATTCTAGTCAGCTTAATGTTAGCCTAACTGACAGAGGCTCTAACATCGTTAAAGTTTGTAACGGAAATGGCTATATTTGTCATGAAACTTTCAAAATTCTGGATATAAGTGGTATTTCTCAAAAAGTGACTATTATTGTCAAAAACGTGAAAGTTTTGGCTACACAGATGCAATTTGCCTAGAAAAAATAAGGAGAAATCAGAAAGGAAAGAGTTTGAGGAGATGATGGTCATTTTACCTCATCCAACAGACCAACACCACTTCCATCGATCCCAAAAGATGACAAAAACAACCCAAATGGGGATCCTTTGACTAATCAACCTCAAATCTCCCTCTCTTCTCCTTCCCCCGGCCCGCCCTCTCGTCCAACCAGCCATTGCCACGTTACCCCACTCCATTAAACCCACGCTTCACCCGCTTCCCTCAATACGCCATTCATGAAAGCAGAAGAAACACTGATTAGCTAGCTGCCCTGCCCTCGTCGGCCATCTTTCTTCTCCCTGACGGCTCGCAACCGCCCACGTTTTTATGCCCCCTCTCTGCCTCCCTCCTTTATATTGCAGTTCATCCCTCCCTCTCTTTCTGTCTGTTTCCATCTCTCCCAAAACCCACTTTACTTACAATACTCCAATCGACACTACTCACTCCGTTTCAGCTTTTGATCTTCAAATTTCTGTGCTGGGTGAATCCATAATCTTTCAAAAAACGATGGCTGCCTCTGCTTCCGGCGAGCAATTCATGTCGCCGGTGGACAGGAACTGGAAGCCGCACCTCGAAATCGCCCCCGACTGCCCGCGCTGTGCTTCTCCCAACACCAAATTCTGCTACTACAACAACTACAGCCTCTCCCAGCCCCGATACTTCTGCAAAGGATGCCGCCGCTACTGGACCAAAGGCGGATCCCTCCGCAACGTCCCCGTCGGCGGTGGATGCCGCAAGACCCGCCGCTCCTCCAAGTCCTCCCTCGCTCCTCCTCCGCCGCTGGAAAACAATCACGGCGGCGGCGACTCGTCTTCCTCATCGACCTCGAATATTGACATGGCAGTCGTTTTCGCCAATTTCGTGAACCCTGATTTGGTGCCCAAGGTGGAGGCCGGTGGTTTGACTGATCACTGCGGGGTGTCGAATTCCAATTCAAATTCGCAGTCGAATTCGATTTCTTCTACTCCGGAGAGCGGCGATCAGGATGGGATTCTGTTACCGCCGGCTGCGGCAGGGGGATCGTACGAGTTCTTCGACCTTTTCCGAGAAGACGGGTTTCTGGAGGCGGCGGGAATCGGCGGCGGAGCGGAGCAGAACCAGGAGAGCACGATGAATGCACTTGGGTTGCAGTCATTGTTGGGCGACGAGATGGCGCAGCTGGAGGTGGCACTCTGGTCGACGATGGCAGCGGGGAACGATCCCGCCCCCGACGCGGCGGCGGCATGGGAGCCGGCGCAGGAGCAGCAGGGGTTTGAAGAAGCAGGGGATTTCGGGGTTGCCAACAATTGGGGCTGTTACGATCTCGATCTGCAGCAGCTCCAGGGTAATTTCGACATTTCCCTCCAGCACTTGGCTAAGCCTCCACCAAATTACTAGTATAAGATCTGATTATTATTTTTTCTCCTTTTTGACCTTTTTTTTACACATATTTCTTCTTTGAGTTAAAAGCAGTTACTGCAAAGTTTTACAACTTAGGATTTGTCTCACACGAAATGGAAATATATTGGAACTTAGTTAATTAATCCATTTGCCACAACATAATTATTTACAATAATAAAAGGATTGCCCTTATTATACTATACTGTGGTCTGTGGCGGAATTGGCCAAACACTGCCATTCTTTTGAGTCTTATTCCCTGTTTGTTTTCTCAATTTATTTTAAGTAGAGTTTCTACATTAGAGATGTTAGCTAGTTCGATCTGTTGGGAACGTCTCAGAGCTTGTCTGTACGTCTAATTTAGGGCTTGTTAACTGTTCCTAAGAAATTAGTCAGAAGATACAGAGAGATATGCTTGTGTGGCTTGTCAGCTGTCAGGCTCATGTGGGTCATCCAATTACCATTTCGGTTATACGAATTAATATGTAGATTTCTACTTTCTTATATGTTAAAGATGTCCTTATTAATTATTATGATTGATCGATGCTCAGAATTACGAGAGCTTAACGATATCTAACATAAGTCATTAGGTCAAATTCGAGTGTTTATCAAGAACCTAAAAACTAAGTGTCAGTGACACTTGACAAAGTTTTTTTTCTTTTTGACGGGAGTGACACTTGCAATGTTGGTGGGCTACATAGTTTGATACAAATTTTACCCCGTGTGCATCCTAGGCAAAGTGGATTAACTAGAGAGCAGCTGCAAATCTTATCTGTAGTTAGTACTGTTTCTTGGACCCCATTTTCCATACTAATTTGAGATCGTACAAGGTCCTAATAACTAATAAATTTGGCTCTGTCACATCTTCGTTATTGGTAAAAACAAACTTTCATATTCATAAGTTACTGTGCACTTAATGAAACTTTAATCGGCAGATGAACAAAAATTGTACCTATCAGATTATGAAGTAAGTGCATGTTCGATATGATCAAATTGGTAAAAAAAATTTTGTCATACTAATACTAATACTACTACTCATACTTGTTATTAAGCTTCTAGCTTTGTTTGGATGAGTTTTTTCTATGTATATGATCTTTCCATAATCCCATAAATGTGTGATTCCAAAAACCCAACCCTAAATAATTTTCCTAGGCAGCTAGCTTGTTCATTACTCTTAAAACTTTACTTACTGCAGTAATTTTATATGAGCAAAAAGAATAAAAAGAGGAATTCTTGAAACCATCATACCAATATATAGAGACTAAACAGGTTAAGTAGTTGGCCTTCTTCAATATTGGAACTGTATATTAGGCGGTACCTTAATTGGTGACAGTGATGTACACATAATGTGAGACTACTCTTATATCCATTAATATGTATTCAACCACTGTATAGCATCGGCTTAATTTCTTGGTCGCCATTTTGTTGGTAGCTAGATGCAGCTGTCGTTTGATTGAGATTGCACAGTACATGCAAAACCTCGCATGCAGCTGTCGACTTGTCGCTATATGTAAATATTAATCTTTGTTGTATCTTCTCAAACTATACTTTGCTTGTGAAAACATATTACAACAACGGAGAGACCTGAAACACAAGAGATCCTTTTGCCTTCCATAGGCATATATATGCACATTATTCCACAAACAGTTGCGAAGAAGAGGGCAACGAAACATGCATGGAAACCCAGAAGTGGTCAAACCAAGAATTAGTGCACCTACTGTTTAGCAAGTCCATGTTCACTCAGGGCCGGTCCATGATATTCGGAGGTCCTGTTCCAAAATTTAAAATGTGGCCCAAAAAATTTGTTCCCCAAATTTATTTAAAAAATTATTAAATAATATAAAATATACATAAGTTCAAAAAATTTATTAAATATTTTTTATCAAACATTAATGATTCCACTCGACAATCAACTAGCAGTTTAGCACTAATCCAAATTTCCAAACAAAACCCCTGCTAAAAAGAAGAAGGTTAGAATGCAAGGACCACTCGGCCCAAAACAAATTAGGCAGGGCCTCATTTTAAACTGCAAATGGTCAAATGCAACTATGCAAGGTAATAAAAAACAGGTAAACATTCGCCAGCCCATTCCAATTCGCCGGCCAATTCGGATTTTGGCCCATCCGGCGGCCCCATTGCTTAGTTGTCTTTAGGATTAATTATTTTTAATATATGTATAAGTTTATGGGCCAAGTTGAGGCCCCAAGTAGTTTGAGGCCCTGTGCTGTGGGTCAGGCCAGTTCACTAATTCAACAAAGAAATGGGATTATTGGAAGGCATTAAATATGCTAACTAGCACTGTAATAAAGGTAAAACTGGGAGAAAACGAGCTCTAACTCTAGAACTAACCTAAAATACCTAGTTCTATAGGGTCAAGCTACAACTTGCCCCACCCGGTCTTGGCCCTATTTCCTCTTGATCATGGCTGACTCATTTTGGTCGGGCCGAGCCAAGTTTGCAGGTCGGCCCACATGAACAAATTGATATTTGAAAAATTATATTTTGATACTCAAATTTATTATTATTATAATTTAGTACCTAGATGTTATTTTTTAGAAATAGGACCATAAATTTTGGTAGCAAAATTTTGTTTCAGTACCTTCAATTTTTTAGATTGCATTCTAGTACCTAAATTTTTAAAACTTTACAAACAAGTTCAATTTTTTGTATGAGAAATATCAAATCTTTAGTTGTTATTATGAGTTATAGGGTTAAAAGTGAACCTACTCTCAATTTACCGGGCAAAAAGAGGACCCCGACCCTATAAACAATTGACCTAGTCTAATTAGAGCCATATTAATGGATATTTAGAGCAAGACTTACACCCCTACCTAGCTGTACAAATGGTGTTCAAAGAAAACAGGTTTCTATCCTATCAAGCATAGAATAGACTGCTTAGTCGGAACTACACTAGAGCTAGCAGCCACCCGCTTCCCTTTAACAATTAGGGTGATCAGAAACCAAATAAACAGTCCAGTCACACATCCTTTTCAACGACTTTATTGTAGTTATAGTTATAGTGATAGGGATGAGTACAGTACACTTTTCAGTGAGTTGGGTATATAAATGCTTGCTCTTGTTGTAGGGGGTGGCAACTGGCAACTGGCAAGTGGGCAACCATACTTAGAAACTTTACCGGTCCCAAGAAGTTGGGATTGCATTATGAGTTGGGATTTGGGGTTGTCAGATTTTAGTTGGTGTTAATGTTAAAGTATTCATTTATACACCCATCTACATATATGATTATGAGTAGAAATCGGTACGGTATCGATATTCCAATACCGAATATCGAAATTACGAATATTGAATTACATTCTAAAATTAATTCTAATCTCAATTCCTAAATAAATTCGGTATCCCAATCTCAATCTCTAAATATTTCGGTATCCCAATCGGTATTCTGGTATCCCAATCGGTATTACCAAATATGAAATTAGTTAAATTTACAATTAATAATTAAATATATTAATTAAATTTGATTGTTTAATTTAGAGCAAAGAGACTAAGCAAGAAGTTCGAGTTTGCCTAAAGCTAGGACATTTGATTGTTTAATATTAGCTGCTTCCCATACGACTTGCCGATCTGAATTTGGAGATGAAAGAACTAAAGCTACATGGGCCACAATAATTTCTCCATTTCTTCCCATACCACTTGTCGATCTGGATTTGGAGATGAGAGTTGACGCCTGCTTGCTCTTCGCCAAATTGATTAGTGATTCTGAATTGAGAGAGGCGAACTGGGAGAAGATACTAACCTAGATTTTTTTAGTGGGATGAGATTAGGTATGGCATGTGGGTTGGTTGCTAGCTACCTCGTATCAATCGTATATAAAGAGTATTATTGTATCATTGTATTGGCCGCTAAAATTTGGTAATGGGTTATGCATATTTCTGTTGGTAATTAAGGGCTGGTAACAAATGTGTGAGGACCGAGGAGAGATTAGTTTGGATGTTAAAATGCACCACTCTTTTATAGTATTTTTTGGTATTTTGGTATATACCGATCCCAATCCTATAATTCCTAATACCAAATTAAACTTGAAATTCAATTCCAATCCCAATCCCATAAAAAATTTTGTGTATTCAGTAATACCAAATTTCGATAAATTCGGTATGGTATTCAGTATATACCAAATAACGATATCAAACTTCCCACCCTATGCATAATGTTGTTTCCTTCCCCATGGAATTGGATTTGCCTTTGTGAGAGGATGATACTCCAATCCTTTGAATGGGGAAGAGCGAGGTTGAGAATATATGGGCCTTGAAAGTTGAAACTATATTATTATATATATATATATATATATATATATATATATATATATATATAAACCTAAAGTACGGTTACTGTTGCCTAAATTCCCTTAACCGCCTACTAATTCCTACACCAGCTAACTAATGGGCTTCCGACTAATTCCTACACAGCAGCTGACAAAATGGGCTTCGTTGTATTTTTGGGCTTTGAGTATCCGCCATTTATTTTAAGGGCTGCAGCAGGCCCTTCAAAATTTTCTTATGTAGCTTTGTTTTTTTGGCCAGGCAGCAGAGCTGCAGAGATTATTCGCCTTCTTTCATTGATCGGACCAATAAAACCTTCAACCGATTGCAGTCGCAGAATGATTTATGCGTTTAGACTATCAGTTAAGTATCGGTCTTAAGTCATTTACCGAATGGATAGTAATGATTAACTATTGATTCGTGCATCACTAATTTCCAAAGGTTGTAAAATTGCACCGAAGATTATATTGGACAAGACGATGTTAGGATATTTATTCTTAAATCGTGGTTTAATTTTAGCAGCAAGGTTTGATACAGTAAAATCTATACCGACTTGAGCTTCGATATCCAATTGGACCACTGGTATGATACGATTTCGCAAATACTACTATTTTTTCATTTCATTAGTCAATCTGGTTCAAAAATATTTTTTCCTACTAATTATTGGGCTATGTTGAATTCCACTTTTTATTTCTTTGTTTCTTTAGAGTTTTCCTTGCCACTTGTGCTAGGAATTTCCAACAACTATTATAAATGGTAAATAAATAACCAATAATAAACAACTATCATTACAATACACCTTTGGAAAAAAAAATCAAATCTAAAAAAACAACCATAACAACACAATAGGTGATAATTGTATCTAAAAAAATGTTTGAAGAATTAGAATAGAAAACAAGGTAGTTTTGTGAATTAGTATAACAAATAAGTACATCGTGCATTAGAGATGTATATGTATGTATTTGTTAAATGAACACTCTATCATTACCTAACTACCACTTTAAATACGTCAATCCTTGGAGAGTTATACAACCTAACTACCACTTTAAATACGTCAATCCTTGGAGAGTTATACATTTGTGTATTGATAAGACCATGCACTATTTCTTGACGCTCGATCTCTCC